TGCTAGAACCAGTGCTGGAACTGGACCCTGAGCTGGAAGTTGAGCTGGAACGGGATCTGTTTCAAGGGGGAGAAGAATAAAAATTAGTGGAATACCCAGAAAAACAATGGCTGAGAAACTTCTGACAATTAGAGAAACTGTGACTGAAACTCCACAGCTCACCAGAGAACCAAAGAAATTCATACCTAAAATATAAACCCTCTTAAGTCAGACAAAATCGCACAGTGACTAACACAACACAAGCTTTCAACAGGCCCAGGACTACCACAGGTAAAGCTACTGATTTCCGAACATGCTGTCATTATAACACTCCCATAAAAGTACCCACCTGGTACTGCTGCTCCCACTGGAGGCACTGCGTCTTTTACGTGTTTTGTCCCGACCACGATCCTTTTCACTCGATTCCTTAGCAGCTGCTTTGTCCTTGGACCGGTCCTTCGACTTCTCTTCTGACCTGTCCTTGCGCTTGGTTGGTGAGGGAGCCCTTTAACAACAAATTACAGAAAGCATTGCTTAATTAAAAAAAAACATAGACAACAAAAGCCCCACACCCAAATAAAGAACAGCACAGTAAAAAAAGCCACTGAACTTTGAATGTAACTCAGGATCACTGAAATTGTGGAGTTAAAGCATTAGGCAACTCCAGACACTTTAGAAAAAGTTCTAGCAAACTCTTCTTTTTCAATCCTGCTAACTCCTTTTCTCCTTCAGAGATATCCATAGCAGCAGAAGGGGCCCCTTGTCTCACATCTCACTTCTAACTACTGGGTTCAGAGAACCAGTTCTCTATTGGCTCTAGATCCAAAAGGAGACAGATTTAACACCTCTCTATTTACACTGAAATGCTGGGCACTAGCTGAGTTCTAGATGTTTACTGTATCCATCTGCTGCTTCCATCACAAAATCTGCAACATCTATAAACATGCAGCATTTTGATTATTCCATGGGGATTGTTTAAAACCTGCATTACAGACCTGCCTCTAACATTTTAATAACCTCTAAAGGAATGTGACACCCTCAACTACCAAAGAATTAAACATTCAGGGAATGAGCAGAAGTGCGTTGGAGCTGCCAGCCTTATCTGTAGCGGCACTGAATATGCACTGTAATGTGGGATGTTGGAAACATCTCCATCCCCACATGCATCACAGGCAAATTCAGTGAACAAGAAAAAAACTTCTCCAGCATCCAACAATCTTTTTGCTTCTGTGCTTCTGGTAAGCAATCACTTTATTCTCTGGATTGCAATTAAACGTATGGTTGGGAAGAGATTACTTCTGAACAGCCAAACTTGCTTAGCTGATTTTCAGCTTCACAGTTTTCCCTAATACACCAACTGCAAGAAACAACACAAATGAATATTCACAAACCTAGCTCCCTGCAGAAACCAAGAAACACCCATGGCCTTCCTGCATGGAGGACAGGAAACCCACACCACAGATGTGCCACTGGCAGAAGTTGCTGGGAAAGGAAATGTCTCCTCCCGCACCAGGAAGAAAGCAGACTGTCCCATGGGCGTTACAAAGGGAGCCAAGACAAGCAAACCTGTATGTCACTCAGCTGTAGGACAGTTCCATCCAGCTCTGTGCCTCTCCAGTGCAAGATCTGAGGGATGCAGTTCGCAAAGCCACTGCATGAGGCCAGCTGGGGAGTACAGAACAGACAGGCTCCTGGTTTCACAAGACCAGAAAACCTAAGATTTTCCTTTCATAAAATCACAGAATCACTGACTGGTTTGGGATGGTGTGAACCTTAAAATTCATCACTTTCCAAACCCCCAGCTATGGCCTTCTCTACAACAGGTTGCTACAACCTGGCCTTGAACACTTCCATGGGATGGGGGCTTCTCTGGGTATCCTGGGCCAGGACCTCACCACCCTCACAGGGAAGACTTTTTTTCTAATCTCTAATGTAAACCTGCCCTCTGTCAGTGGGAAGCCATTCCCCCTTCTCCCTGCACTCCAGGCCCTTGTAAAATGTCTGTCTCCATCTCTCTTATAGGTTCATTTCAGGTACTGGAAGGCTGCAATTAGGTCACCCCAGAGCTCATTTTTCTTCTTCTCAATATCCCATAGCCAGGTTTGGCTTATCTCTGCCTACACATCAGCTCCTCCTGCACTTGTGGACTATCAAAGTCACAATGTTATTGGCATACAAAACTATCTGTTACTGCTCAAGAGTCAGATCTGGTTCTACCCCTTCCGGGAGAAGGGAAGAGGAAACAGATAAAGACCAGCATGTTTGCTGTTACCCAGCCTGCTGCTGAGGCAGGACATAGAATCACAGAATCAATTACACTGGCACAGACCTCTGAGATCATCAAGTCCAACCTGTGACCCAACACCACCATGTCAACTAGACCAGAGCACTCAGTCTTTCTATAGACACCTCCAGGGATGGTGACTCCACAACCTCACTGGACATCCCTTTCCAGGGGCCCAATCGCCCTTTCTGTGAAGACATTCTTCCTAATGTCTGATTTAAACCTCCCCAGTGCATCTTAAGACTGTGTCCTCTTGTCCTGTTGCCCATTGCCTGGGAGAAGAGCCTGACCCCCACCTGGCTACATTCTCCTTTCAGGTTTCACTGCTTACTGCTCCTTGGGACAGGCACTTACCAGGCAGGTCAGCCACATGGCTTTGGAATGTCGTTCACCAAATGCTACATTTAAGCAGTCTCCAAACTAACCAGTGGTTTTAATCCTTTCTCAGGAATGCCATTGGCCAAACTCACTTTAGTTGGAAACCTCACCTACCTTGTGGGCATTTTCACCTGCACAAGTTCAGGCATTCACTGGAAAATGTGGAAAGAACAAATCACAGTCCTCACACAAGGCTAAACAACACTGCTTTTCTAAGCGACATGTTTCTTCCTTACAATCAAAAACCTCTCACTCTCTGAAAAACAGCTGGTTTAGGGGCATTCACCCCAAAACAGAAAGTCTAAAGAGCAATCGACACAAACCAAATGACCATCTCACACACGCTTCTGGCTTTGGAGACAGAATCTGCACACTCAGAGCAGCAGTTCTGCGGCAAAGGAAGCAAACTCGCTCGCCCTCAGGCCTCCCGTAAGGCTACAGGCGAGTCCTTTACTGACAGTTTACTCCAGGTCTTGAGCTGCAAAACGGCAGAACACCTGGTGTGTGGAGGGTTCGGCGCCCGGCACTTGTCTGCCCACTAGGGCAGCTCTGCGCCGGCGAAGCGCGGGGCAGCCAGATCCGCACGCCGTGGGTCCGGTAGAGCCCCGTGGGGCAGGGGCCCGCGAGATCAGCACAGCAACCCGGCCCTCGGGCCCGCACAACGCTCCTCCCGCAGGCCGGGCCGCGGCAGCGCCGACACCCGGGCCCGGTTCCCCGGCCGGCCCCGCCCCGGCCCTCCCGCCCCTGCCCTCCCCGCCTCCGGCCGCGGGAGGCCGCGGCTCCAAGGCCGCCCCCCCCGCCCCTGCCCTCCCCGCCTCCGGCCGCGGGAGGCCGCGGCTCCAAGGCCCCATCCCTGATCCTCGCGCCGCCACCGCCTCTCGGCGGCCCCAGCGCGCTCCCTCCGGCGCCCCGCGCGGCGGAGGGGCCGATCGTGCCGCGGCCTGGCCGGATGGACGCGGATGATGCAGCCCCCGCCCCGCACTCACATCTCCGGCGCCGCCGCCGCCGCTCCGCGCCCGTCGCGCGAGTTTGACGCGAGCGGGCGGGAAGGGTCAGCGCCGGCGCGCGGTGATGGCGTCATAGCGCGGGGCGGGACGGGCGGCAGGGCTTAAAGCGAACGGGAGCGGGCGGGGGAGGGTGCTGCTACCCCGGCGCTGGAATAAAGGTTCTGGTAAACCCTGCCCTGCACGTTAATGACAGTAGCGGCTGGGGCTTCAGCTCTGGGCTTTAAGAGCTTGACAACCCAGCAGGCTGCAGCCCCCACACGTGAGTTGTGGCCCGCCCTGTCTCAGGTGCAGGTTCACAGCAGACCGACTCTGGTCTGAGGGGTGGCGGTGCAGGGATGGCACTGCTGTGAGGGGATTTGCCCTCTCAACTCAGCAAGAAAATTGGGAAGAGGAGAATGAAAGACTTAAGATGGAGCACCACACAGTGGCATTTAATGTCGTGGGATGGATATCCTCTCTCTCTCTCTCTCTCTCCCTGCCAGATGTGTTGGCTGTGAACTTAAAAGGAGATTTGCCGCTGCAGACACTGAACCTCTGACCTTCTCACCACACTGGCTGCCTGACTTTTGACTTCAGAGGAACAAAGCCAGAAGTGTATTTGGACCCCATCCCTAATGTAGGGCCTTAAAAGAGACAGATCTTTCTGAGAAGCAGGTGTGCCGATCAGCTTATGTGTGTGGCCAGAGACGTGTCTGTTAAATTCCTAATGACGGAGTCTTCACCTCTTGAATGCAGTGGAAGGATATGTCCTGTCTACCTCCATCACAGGGCATGAGCAAGACCAGGGCAGGTGTCTGTAAATTCGTGTGTGGCAAGAAGAAAAACAGGCTTATTTTCTGTTCTGCTGCAAAACTAAGGGGTATTACATAAAACCTGGCATGGAACAGGTTAAGAAAACAAAGAAAGCCACAAAGAAAGCAAAAAGGAAGTTGTTCTGTCCACAGCATCTTGTCAAAGGGCAGATTTCTCACAGGCAATTTTGTAGTCTGCTAAAAGTTTACATGGGTTCAATGAGAAACTGCATTATGTCAAATGAGGACTATTAGTAGACTGTCGTGATGAGCTTAGAATTATGGAATCATTCAGGTTGGAAAAGTCCTCTAAGATCACTGAGTCTAATGCCAATGCCATTCCCACAGTGCTGCCAAGGCCACCACTAAACCACGTCCCCAGATGCCACATCTACATTTTTTGAACGCTTCCAGAGATGGTGATTCTGCCACTGTCCTGGGCAGCCTCTTCTAGTGCCTGACCACCCATTCTGCGAGGAGTATATCTCTACTATCTGTGGAAAACGAGGTTCACTTTCCTGGTAAAATTTAAAAAGTTTAATAAAAAGACAGTAGGAGACAGAAATAAAGGAAAGGGTTAAAATCATCCAAGAGCACACTTATCTTCGGAGAGACCTCTCAAATACCTTCTCCATTAAATCAGCCTGTTGCGTATTCACAGAATTTATGCATATTCATATTTCTCTATAAACTAGCTTACCTATTCCATTTCGCATGGTCCCTCCTTGGTCTTGGTTTTGAGAGTACGCGTGTTTCTTGGCTGTGGTTTTGGTCCGTTCTCTTTGTCACTTCCATGTTGGGCCTTGATCCATGCTTCCTTCAGACGGCAGATGCTGATAGTTGGCATATCAATAGCAGGATCCTCAGGACATGTTCACTGGATGTTATCCCGACTAAAGAGACAGCTCACTCTTAATGATATCAGCTACCACTACTACCATGTCTAAGTTTTTGTTAATAGCAGAAATAAAAGCAAAGTTATTTTAACATTGTACACGTAGCATTCATCTTAATATTTGTGAAAATACAACAATATAATATGTATTTATAACATATCCAAACGAAACCACCCCTGGTACAACTTGAGGCCACTTCCCCTTATCCTGTCCCGTGTTCGCTGGGAGCAGAGCCTAACCTGTCTGCACTCAGTGTTTAACATTTTTCTCTCTCAGTTATGGCAAAGCCATAAAGGCTAACTGATCCCAAAATCCTGCACGCCCTTATTCTCATAACAGCTATCATCTCTCCAGGGGTGGGCGGGTAAGGTCACTGACCCAGCAGAAAAGTAATACTACTGTAAAAGTTTGCTGGCAGCGGTTAGCTGAAGCAGGCTCGCGCAGGGCTGCGGCCGCAGGGCCAGCCCCAGGACGGGGTCCGGCGGCTCTGATCCGCTGCCAGGGGCTGCCAGCAGCTGGCAGGACTGAGCCTTTAAGCCAGGCGTGAACGAAGAGAGACGTTTTAACATCTCATTTGGGGGCACTAGCAGAGATGAGAGCAGCTCAGAGCACTGTCCGCTGCAGTTTCAGAGGCAATGGCCCCGCTGTGGCCCCTGCCCGCCGCCGGAGCACGGCTGGCACGGCAGCCACCATCCCCCGCAGGGACCGAGCTGGTGCTTCCAGGGCTGGAGGGGACCTGTGGGGACGGCAGCGCTGCCTCCTGTGAGGCTTCTCCTCCATGCTCTGGCACGGGTGTGACCAGCCACGCCAGGGCTGTGCTCCGGGACGGGACAGACGGGTCTGTGCCCTAAGGTGAAGCCGCTCCTGGCGGCCCTGCAGCGCCGCTGCCCCGAAAGGGTTACGAGAAGGGCTCCGCCCTTCCTGTACATCGGTGTCCGCTTGGGTGACCTTCCCGGCAGCCCTTGCTGGCTCTGCCCCAACCGAACAAAGACGACAGGAGGTTTTCAAACAGCCGCTTCCCTGAAAGTTGGCTGCGGTAGAGCTGGGCTGCGCTGGCTGCTCCCGGCCGCCGGAGAACGCGGCAGCGAGTTGGTGCCGTCGCCTGAGAGGACCCCGGCAGCCGTCGGGAGTCCCTGTACGTGGGTGCTCTGCCCATTTGCTTCCGTGCATTGAGCTCGTTTGGGTGCTGGGAGTGGCGTGGGGAAGGCTGAGAGGAACTGCCGGCAGTGGTGCGGGCACAGGGAAGGTGCAGCAGGACAGGGCTCCGGGCCCGCGGCCGTGCGGAGGCTGGTGCGGTGCTGATGTTCGGTGTCGGAGCTGGGAGTGGCATGCCCGATCTGAAGTGCTGTCCTCCAGCCGCCTCTTAAACTCAGGAGCCTGCCCAGCAATTTTCCAGCGAAGTGTAGATTCCTTTAGATACTGCCCATGTGTTGGTGGACGAGCAGGAGGTGAAATAACAGAGCTGTGTGAGCGCTGCTTTTGGCTCATACTTCAGTGCTTTTTTTGTCCCTTCCCTCGTGCATTCCCAGGCTTCTGCTGAGGACAGGCCACTTACAGCCACCTCCGCAGGTGAGCTGCTCTGCTCCGCTGCCCGTGGGTTGGGGCTGATTGTCGCTAAACGCTGCCTGAGGCTGAGCGCGCTTGTCCCGTGTGCTGCGCCGACTTGCAACTTGCTTCATTTGTCCTTCCTATTAATTGGCTTTGGGTTCTGGTGGCAACTACAGAGAGCTCTCCTTGAGGCCCCGGAGATCCAGGTGATCAGCGGGTCATTCTGCCCGCAGCAACACTGGCATTCCTTTATCACGGCGAGGTGTGAGCCCCCTGTAGCCGGCATTGCTTAGCATTCGTGGGGATTGCACTGCAGCACGAGCTCAGCCCACAGCCTCCGGGTGCTGCTGTTTTCCCTGTGCTGCGAGGTCTTTGGCCTGCCTCCTGTTCAGTCTGTCACTCCTGCACTTCTGTGAGAGTAGGGTAGGTGCGTGTGTGGCTCCAGAGGATACAGTCTCTGTTGCTTCCTTAGAGGAATTGCAGGGTGGGGCATTTGTCTTCTGAGGACTTGGAAACTTTTCATCCAAATGTGTAGAAACAGCCTTAGTTGTCATTGCAGGGAGTTGAGAGAGTTTCCAATGGCTGCTTCCAGTTGTTGAGTAGCTACATAGATTTGGAACAACAAAAATAGGACATTTTGGCATTTCTCTCTAATCTACAGAAGGGTGTGAATTTAGCAATTTAGTTGAAATACTTACAGGTCTGTTAAGTATCTGCCATAGTTTCTGAACAACTGGCCCTCTCTTGAGCTCTAAGGCTATTCTTGCAGTGCACACTGGTAGCTAGGCCACGAACAGGTTTAGGACTTCATGACTGTCTGCCTCTGGATGTGTCAGTGCATACATTTGTATATTTCAGGGCTTTTAGCTTAAAAACTGTGCCTTGATGCTCATTCTCCTGCAACACTCTTCTGTCCTGATGCTGTTGGAATATACCTGCTCAATGCTAAACTTAGGCAAACGTCCTGGTTTCACCACAAGGAATAAATAGTATGTTACGTTTTGCAGTGATTTATTTGTTTGCTCTTAAGGCACGTGAAAGATTAGAAATTCAAGGTGTGCTTGTGGTGCAGCCAGTGCAGCTCTCTCTGCTGGAAGGGCTGTGTCTGTGGAGAGCAGTGACTGCAAGTACCTAATGCTTTCCAGAGAGGCACAGGTAAAGGCAGGACAGTGAGACACTTGCCATTTATTGTTCTTGTCTGAATACTAAAGTTCACTTGATGAATTTGTTCAGTGTGAGGGCAAAGATAGATTTTGGAGCCAGAATGTGAAATCTAGCCTGCTCCTCTCCCACAGGCCACTAGATGCTCTGTGAAAGCATCTTGTTCCTTCAAGCTGTGGTTCCACAGTTCTTAATATCATGTTTGGATGCTCCAAATAATTTCTTAATACGTACCTAACCTTTACCAGACACAGCATCACAACCATGCTGAGTTTGTCACACCAGGTAAAAATGTTGAGGGTGACCTCTGGGTTTTGGGCTGTGGGAGAGTTGATCCAGTGCAAAGCCTTTTGTTCAAGGCTATCAGTGTGATTTTATACAGTGTCTCTGCTCTGTGGTGTATGGCCTGGGACCCATTCACCAATAAGGGAGGATTTTCCAGTATTCCCGATACTGTTCCCTTTCTCCCCTCAAAGGTGAGGTAACAGTACTAATAACACTAACACAGTGTTGTTACCCTGTGATCCCAAACATCCCAACACACTTTATCTTTCCACCATATCTCTATACCCTGTTCCCCAATGAGCTCCAGGCTGCAGTAGCATTGTCTGAGGCAAGGGCAAACTTTGTGTACCATTGTACTCAAAAAAATATTTTTTTTTTTGCAACCCCCAAAACTGTTTAAAAAACCTTGTGGAGATCCAGCTTTCTTCAGTGTTCCCATTCTGAAAATCTTAAAGTAGAACCATAAATTTTTATGTTTTCCATGTTAGGATCTGATTTTTAAAGTGTGGCCAGGCAGTGGTAGCTCCTCAACTGCTCTGAAAGCACAGCTGTTGTCAGAGCAGGTGACAGAGCAAACCGAGCTATGGGCTCTAAACAGCTCACTTCAAATCCTGGGCCAGACCCAACCCTTTCTCTCTGCCATTCTGATGTCTCAAGTGCAACTTGATTAAAATCTTCTTCTGAGGTTATCCCTTCAGAGGGGAGCCAGCATGCCTCAGGTAGCAGCAGCACTGTCTAAATTCATCTGACCCATCACCTTTTGATAAAACCTGTAACAGAGCTGCTCCTTCACCAGTTTTACAAAGAAAGGGTCAGGTACACAGGTAAGGTGGGATGCTGCGTGCTGTTAGATAATGTTATTGCTTCCATAAGGCTTGGCAAATCCCACAGAACAGTGGCACTGAGTAAAATTGTAGCCTAGGAGAAATGACCATTTTCCCCTGGCACAGATCTTTCTGCATTGGCAACATTTCAGCATTGGACACCTAACACCATTCATCTTTTTCTGGGCTAAGTTCCACTGAACCACCTTGGGCAGCTCATTGCTGTTCTTGGGGCTGTCCTGTGCAGGGCCAGGAGTTGGACTCAGTGATCCTTGTGGGTCGCTTCCAACTCGGGGTGTCCTGTGATTCTGTGAGCCTTTTCTGATTACCTGTCTCCGCAGAGCTACGACTTCCCAGTCTGTCCCTACTGCAGTGAAACTGTTCTCTGCATCAATAGCAAAGAATTATCCATGTCCCTTCCGAGCTGTGCCAGGCAGGCGCTGGACCAGGACTCGGAGGGCAGGAAGCCCAGTGGAGGATTGTCCTCCCCATGGACACATGACTGTGTTCAGAGCACAGTTCTCTGCAGGGTGAGGATTTGGGCATCCCTAGCAGACTCACTCCTTCCACAATTCCTTTGCTCTACTTGATATATTTCTTGCTGTCTGAATCTATATCTGAATCCCATAAACCAGCACTGTCTTCCCTGTCTCCCTTCTGGGAGATGTTTATAATAATTATTTTCCCTTCCAAGCTGATGCAGAGTGAAAAAGGACTTGTCTTGCCAGGTTTTGCAGCAGCTATTCAGAACACTACAGGAAAGCAAGAAAACTAAACAAGATGAATGAGTGTCCCTCCCCAGCTGCTTGCAGCTGCTCCAGGCTGTGCTGGGGGGTCTGAGAAGGAGGTCTGGAAATCAGACACAAAGGAAAGTGTGGGCAAGAGAACCTTGTCGAGCTGTTCGTAATCACAAGGCCCAGATCTGACAGATTTGGCTTGTGTCTTTTTACAAGGTCCATGAGGATGGATCCCCTTTTGGCAACACTGAATCGATTGTGAATGGTAACTGTTTGCCATGTCTTGGTAAACCGGCCTTGCACTGTACAAAGAGCATTGAAAGGAAAGAGACATAGCCACATCCAACTTTGTTCTTCATGATCTGACATGGACCTTCTTAGGGCAGGAGTATTTGCACTGTGTGGCACAGCAAGCCCTTAAGCTCAACATGCTTTGGGATGTTAACAACATAAAGTGTCTGTTTTCAATTGCTGAGACCAGACAATGAGCTGGATCTTCTTGCTCTGCATCTTCATGCTCCCTGTGGGTCACAGCTTTTGCTTCTCTCCTTCCTCCTCTTCATTCACATCTGTTCTCAGTATCAGCAGTTTGTCTCTCTGGTGAAACCTGTTGCTGCACCTCTGTTCTTGCTGCCTCCTGACTTTGCTGCTGCTGAAATAGTGGATGGGATCTTGTTGCTCTGATTAGGGCCATCTGTACATACATGCCTCCATGTCTTCGAGGCTGTTCCATCTCGTGGGCCAGGCTGGCCACAGGTTTGATGCAGCTGAAACAGCCATTGAGAAAACACAGCCCCAGGGTAGCACAGTGACCTTTGCCATGTCTGTTGAAGGATTAACTCTTCCTTGCTTCACCTCAGCACGAATTCTAGAAGCAGCTTTGCTTGTACCTCCCTAGGATAAAAACTGCCTGAGTCCAAGAGCAGTTGTGAGACAAAAGGGAGAAGTTAATCTTCCCAGACATGAGCCAGCTCCACGGTCACACAGCTAATGTTTTGCTCTTGGGGAATTTGGCATTCAAAGCCAGGTAATCAGCCAGAAGAACTGTGGGAGAGACAGGTGCAGTGGCTGGGGTGGATGTGTGTGCAGGCAGGTGAGGGAGCTCTACCCCAAGGACGTGCAGGAGGGACACTGGGGAGATCCTCTCTCTCAGGTTCACCTTCTGGAGTGGGGGCTTGCACAAGCACAGCAACAGGTTGTGCAGAGGAAGAGCTTGCTTGGCTTAAGGCTAGTGGTTACATCACTTGGGTTGCAGGAAGACTGAATTCATGCTCTTCCTCTTTTTTAGACCTTAAATCCACTCTGCTCTGAAAGGAAGTCTGGAGCATGCTGTCTTCTTTCTCCTCCTCTCTTGAGGCTGTTTCATTTTGTATGTAGTATTATCTGGGCCAGAGCGTATGGGAACTAAGGAAACAATCCTGGTGATGGGAAGGCTGCTCCAGGCTCTAGGCTGTGTTTCTGTGGCTATAGCTGCATGCAGAGTTATGGAATAGAGCGTTATCAGCAGTAATACTGGGGTAAAGGGCCTTCCTCAGCTACAACTAAGTACATAAAGACCTCAGACATTGCAAGCATTCAGCAGCAGCTGAAGAAAGGGTGGCTAATCTGAAATTTGGACAGACACCTAAATTGGCAGGCTGGAGTAAAATTCCTGTTGCAGGTGTGGTGGTGTAGCAAGACAAATGTGTATGTCCAGCTGGCTGTGTGAGGTCTCAGAAGCCAACCCACTAAAGGGAAAAACTTGTAGCCTGTGGTGCTGCATGACAGCCCTCTCTGATTGGAACTAAGTAAACTGAGTGATCTAGTCACCACATCTTCCCCCAGGGATCCTCATCCCACTGCAAAACACAAGGGGTGTGGCAGGAAGACACTTTCATACCATGAAAAGCCATTGCAGCTTGCAGGGGAAAAATCTGTGGCTGCTGAATCTGGGTTTGCCAAAGGACTTGCAGCTGTGGCTGGAACACAGTGTGACAGCCAGGGAAGCAGAGGCAAGCAGGATTTCAGAACAGGGGACTTCTATTGCCCACACTCAGCTCATGGCACCCGGTCTTTGCATGGAAATGGCAGCCAAGCCAATTTTGTGGTGCTACTCTATTTTAGAAATAGCAGCAGTTGAGTCAGTCCAGATGAGACTGTTTCAGGATTTTCTGGAGGAGATGAACCCTCTCTGTGTTCCTGATATCCACAGAAATGGAAAGCATTAGATGCAGAGGGTGAGCTCCCACAATTGCTGTGAATTTTCTTACACAAATGTGCTCCTTTTTCCTATCCTCCTGCAAAACCAGCACTGGAATTAACTTTTCCCAAGTGGTGTAAGAAACCATTATAGGAACCATGTCACTTCCAGCCTGGCCGTGGAAAGCAAAGGGAACCTCATCAGTTACAGGTCTAGGAAAATCCTTGAATCTTTCCCTCTCATTGAACTGATTTTTGTTTTTCCTTGTGCAAAAATTATTGGAGAGTAACAAACACCTTGAAGGCCAGGTGAGTGTAAAGATCTCATCTCTATTGTGAATGTGTAAGTTGATAAGGTGTGTGCATTGCACAGGCTGCAGCTCCCTGAGGAAAATACCCTCTGGAGAGGGAGAAAGAGGAGAACGTGATTGACTCAGTCTGGAAATGGGGAGCACATTTAGTACAGGAAAACTGTGAGTTTGCAGCAAGACCTGATAAATAAAGTTATAAGCAGAGATGGAGCCAGACCAGGCTGTTGCAAGGGCTGACTGTGGGATCTTATGAGTTGGCCTTCCAGTAGTTGAAGGGAGCTTACAAGGAGCATGAAGAGATACTTTTTACAAGGGCATCTGGAAATAGGACAAGGGAGAATGGCTTCAAGCTGTCAGAGAGTAGGTTTAGATGAAATATTAGGAAGAAAGTCTTCCCTGTGAGGGTGGTGAGGCCCTGGCACAGGTTGCCCAGAGAAGCTGTGGCTGCCCCTGGAAGTGTTCAAGGCCAGGTTGGACAGGGCTTGTATGAACCTGAGATGGTGGAAGGTGTCCCTGTCCATGGCAGGGAGTGGAACAAGATGGGTTTTAAGGTCCCTTTCCATCCAAAGCATTCTGGTTTCCTCAAATCAGGAGAGAGAATGAGGTGCTGGAGTGAGTCCAGAGAATGACAGTGAAGCTGGGGAAGGATCTAGAGGGTAAATCTTATGAGGAATGCGTGAGGGAGCTGGGGTTGTTTAGCCTGGAGAAAAGGAGGCTCAGGGGTAACCTTATGACTCTGTACAACTACCTGAAAGGCTTCTTCTCCCAGTGAACTAGTGACAGGACAAGGACATAGCTTCAGGCTGAGCCAGGGGAGGAGTCATCACGGGAGGTTGGACATCAGGAAAAATTTCTAATTTCTTCACAGGAAGGGTTGTCAGGCATTGGAATAGGCTGCCCAGGGACATGTGGAGTCACCATCCCTGGAGGTGTTTAAGAAAAGACTGGATGTGGCACTTAGTGCCGTGGTCTAATTGGCAGGGTGTTGATCAGTCAAAGGTTGCACTCAGAGGTCTTTTCCAACCTAGCTGATTTCTGTGATTCTGTGATCTTGGAGGAAGTTGCTGTAATACTGTATTTTATGGAATAGACTCATGTTGCTTTCACTGGTAACCCTTTTGCCATACCTGACAGGGGTGGAGTAGCTGTTGTGCACTTTGTCTGCCCTCAAGGTGTAAGTGAGCAGGGTTGGAGCTGGTTTTTGACCTGCACTTATGCCTGCACTTGCTGCTTGCATCTCCTGCTCAGCTGCTGGATTCTGACCCCCAGCCTGTTTTGCAGCGTGTTCTCTGAAATGGCTTTTCAGGTCTTGGTCTACCTCTGATCAGTAAATAGATTTTTTTTTTTTAAAGCCCTCCTGCAGAGGCAAATGCTGTTCTTGAAGGATAAGGAGCTTGGGTGAAGCCTTGAGCATTGATGGTATCTCCAGGGAGCTGCTGTCCATATCCTTGCCCTGAAGCCATCCTGGCCAAACTCCTCATCCTGCTGCTCCTCCAACAAATGGAGGGTTCTGAGGGAACACTGTGAATTGGGAATGCTGAACTTATGTGGGATTAGTGGAGCAGGGATGGTCTGTGCCTCCGATGAACTTTCCCCAAGCCCAGGAAAGCAGGGCAGGGCGGTGGGATCTCAGTCGAGGGCTGGGGAAGGGCTGAAGGGGATGAGCAGGAGGGATTTGGGACATGGGTCTGGTACACAGAGAGCAACACCTTCAGTGGAGAAGAAGCTGGAGGAGATGCAGTGTGGAGTTGGTGCTCCTCCAGGGTGCTCTCCTCATCTTCCCTGTGGAGGCTGGGTGAAGGCTGCAGCCATGGCTGTTGCCTTTCCTGGCATTTATGTAAATTATATGTTTCTGTCACCAGCTGCTCGGATACTCCAGTCCTCTGGCTGGAGACACTGTGGGAGGAGGGCAGAGTATATTGCCAGAGCTCAAACTCCTCACGCGTGCAGCTTTAAGGTGGTGGTCTCCTTGGAGCATCTTCCTTTGATGTGGGGAAGGTTGAGAATTTCTGACCTTTTGCTCTTGCTCTGCAATTGTACTGTCCGCATCCAAGGACGTGTGTTTTCCAATACCCACATACCCACTGCCCCAGCTCTTCTCTACAAGGTCCCTAATGCACACAAGCAGGGCACGAGGTGGCCTCTAGACATAAACAGAGCTGGATCAAAGTAGAGCCTACATCTTTGCAGCTAATGTGTCTTTCTTTTGCCATGGAACAAGTAAGATGCAGAGGGCCAAAACTCTATCAAATTGACTCAATTTCTCCCTGAGGCTGATGTCCAATAGTCTTTGTGCCTTCTTGGCCAACATAACACATTATTGTCTTTTTTAAGATCCACATGTACCTTGGGGCGTGTGGTTTGGAAAAAGTTCCTATATCACATCTGCTTGGCAGCAGCCATTTGAGGTAGTCTCTAATTGGAAGCGTTTTGCTGCCTTCTGCGAATTCCTGGAAGATATTTATTTTGGTGAAGTGAAAACTAAAAGTATGTCCTTTAGGGAGCAGCTGAAGCACTGAGGGTCCAAGAAATGCTGCAGATTAAGGAATTTGGTAGAAAGTGGAAAATACTCTCCACCATAGTTGTGCAGACACATACATGTGCATGTATAGACATATATAAGGTATATCCCTGTGTGGTACAGGCATGTACCTGGTGTGAGAGAGGAAGCACAGGAAGTGCAGCCATTATATTTATAGCTGTGCCTTCTTTACAAGTGCATCAGTGATTGCATTTGCTTCTCCCAAAGGTACAGGACGGTGTCCTCCCCAGACCCAAGGGCAGGCTCTGCAGCACCAGCAGTTCCCACGTGGAGTTTCTACAGTTCTGCTTGCCGTGACCTTTTGGGCCACCAGGGAGACACAGTGGAGTCCTGCCAGCCTCGTGCGATGACCCATCACTTGCCAGGACTCTCTCCAGGCTTCCTGAGACACTGAGTTGCTGCTTCTGATTCCTCACTGCTGCTGGCAGGGTGGGATTGATATCCAGTTCAGGACACTGGGAAGAGCCAAGCCCATCACCATCCTCTGTGCCCTTGGCAGACTGGGGGACCAAGCTGGACCCCTCTCTCTAAAGGGGCTCCACGTGAGCGAGGGACAGGCGTGGGGCTGTCCATATTCACTCTGGTGGGAAGAGCCACCTCCTTCACCCTTTCCACCTGGGAACTGTGTCACTGCTGGGGATGGCACCACATGGACTCAGAGCAAGGACCAGGAGCCTGGCAGCAAGGCACTAGCTGAGCCTGAGCACCATCACGGGGCATAGAGCTGCCTGGGGGGTGCCAGCATCCCCACCACGGATGCACTCCGGGGATGTAGGTGCCGGGCACAGGAGGAGTCCCGGCAGCAATGGGCCGGCTGGATGACCATGCCAAGAGGAGGATCGTGGAGCTGCGCAGGGCTGGGCTGAGCTTCCGCAAGATCAAGAAGGTGCTGGAGCTGGATGACATCCGGGTGACGCCGCAGGCCGTGTACCTCTTCCTCAAGAGGAAGAGTGTGGAGCCGGGGTCAGTGGCACCTGGCTGGGATGGGGACCAGCCCTGGCCCCCGCTGCAGGGGCATGAGGCTGAGCCCCCCAGGCTGCTGGGCACCCAGCACCCTGCACTGCCCACCGGGGATCCTATGGGCAGCCAGGCGCCCTGCAGTGCTGGCAGCCAGGACACCAAGGAAGGCATCCAGATTGTCAGTGTGGCCTCACTCCGCAAGGACGGTGGGCAGCTTGGGGACACTGTGGCTACGGGGCTGGCCCCTGGAAATGGTAAGGCCTGGCTCCACTGGGGTTTACCATGGCCACTTCCTGGCACTGGTGGGCTCATGAAAGGGCCCCATTCCCCACTGGAGACCCCCCAAGGATCTCCTTTTGAGGTGTTTCTCTCTCTGTTGTTGCAGGTGATGACAGCTCCTCAGGCACAGCCCTGGCTCCAGGGACTGCTCTGGGGGGCCTTGCCCCCCTGCCCCAGCCACTGCCCAGCCGAGGGCAGCTGGTCATGCCTCCCACCCAGAACTCAGCCCTGATGGTGAAAAAGAAGACAGTGGACAGGGCTATCCTCTTGCAGAAAAAGGTAGGATGGCAGAATGGGAGAGTCCATCTGCTCCAGCCAGGAGCTGCTGCCACCAGGCCAGCCCTGCACAGAACCCTGCTGCATCTACACCATGTCGTGGGGCAGGCTTCTGGGGGTGAAAGGCTCCCAGAGTACCCCCAGCCTCTACTAGCTGCACTCCCCAGCAGTGCTAACCCTGACACTTGGCAAATATATCTGGGAAGCCCCTCTGGGTGGGGGGGAGGCCATGCGCCCACCCGCCTCCAGCCAGCACTCGCTGCTGGCCATGGAGATGCCAGTCACGCCAGGCCTGGCCTCCAACTGGCAGCTCACAAACCTCTTTTTGAGGCTTGGTGTCAGTACCATCTCAGGAGGTTCTTCCAGCCACCCAAGGCTATAAATCAAAATCCAGGATATGTTGTTTCTGTCCCTGCAGAGAGCAAACACAAGCCTGGCATCAGCTTGGGCAGCCCCACTGCCGTTCAGCGGCACTCACCCAGGATGGATCAGCATGTGCTAACAACATGGTGCACCAGGGGCTGCAGGGGAGCAGCAGCTTAAGGGCTGGGTGGGGCTGAAGCGCAGCACACGGTGAGGTCTAGAGGTCTGCAGCGAGGTGACGCCTTTCTCTGAGAGCTCTTCTCTGAGCCTTGTAGCTAAGTGCAGAATTAATCCCTTGTTAAATTTGCCATTGAACGTGCAGCTGGTAATATTTCACATTCCCTTCTCTCCTGCCTCCCACTATTCCAGGTCAAAGATGCCAGCACTCAGACTGCCTTGCCAAACTCTGTGGATCCAGAAAATCGCAGCCTTGCTTGGGACGGACCAGTGCCCCCAGCTGCTCCCAGCTGCCCTGCCATCACCGAGAAGCTGGATGCTGTACAGATGGAGGTGCAGAAGCTGAGCCAGGCCCTGCATGCGGTGCTGGAGCGGCAGTGCCGCCTGGAACGCCAGCAGGAGCACCAGCAGCGGCTGCAGCAGGAGGTGCTGATGACACTGCAGCAGCTCAGCTCCACCATGAGCCACGGCGCTGTGCCAGCCACCCAGTCCTGCGGCCCCTTCAGCAGCATGGCCGAGCCCTCACCCAGCATGCCAAACTTCAGCCAGTTCAAGATGGAGCTGATGTGAGCCCCCACAAGGCCTGTGTGCGGCAGCAGTACTGTGCTAGTGGAAGAACTGTCTCTCAGAGGCTGCCAAGGATTACATGCAGCACCCAGCAGAACGTCCCTGGTGCCTCATGTTCCCAGCCCTGCTGACTGGAAGGGACTGCCTGGCACAAGAGGCTGGACAGTGGAAGACTGAGGCCTTGCTCCTCCTGTGCTGCTGATCCTGTGGCACTGGAGCTGACTGGGGCCCATGGACCTCAGCAGAAGGCAGTTGCCTGCAAGGAGAAGATGCAGCTAACGTGGACACAGAAGGGAGGTGGGACTCCAAGGATACAGGAAGCTTCCTTCCCATGAGGGTCAATGCCATGAAGATCAATCTTGCCCTCCCCTCCACAGAAGCTTGTTCAGTAAAAATGTGTTTATGCCATGGTTCAGAATCAGTGTGGGATCAGTATCTGCCTATTCCCTACCCCTCACCCCAGCCCGTGAGCAGGCTGGATCTGTCTGGGTCACTATCACCATTCATGGAACTGCACAGGGTGCAGAAACCCATGAGGTGAGACCAGCGCTCCACACATGATGATGTTGGGGCCTGGTATCAGCCGCTGCACCATTAGGGATAGATCAGACTTGTAGGAAACAATCTTTTACTGAGCAGATTTCACCCTCCTCACCCCACAAACCCAGCAGATCTGGAGTCTGGTACTGCTGCTGCCCACTGTCTGGCAAGATACGGGCAGGACCATACCAGTAAGAGTTGCACCTGGGCAGTACCTGATTAACTGGGTGTTCAGCTCTCCTCTAACCGGTTTTCCTGGGCAGGATACCCTCCTGGTTGTGATCCCCAGTTGTAAGGGCTCTCCCTAGAGCAGGCTGCTGGTGTTGCAGAGCTGCTCCAGCAAAGCAGGTCATGATGCTGAGAACTCCCTTGCCTGAACCAGAAGGGCACGGGGGAGGCTGATGGGCCCTCACTGAGCAGTGGAGTCCAGAAGGGCCAGAGACTGGCCTTGCCTGCCAGCAGGAAAGGTCTGAGGGGGTGGCCTTGGCTCAGCACCCAGTAGTGAATCCCAAGGGATGGCAGAGCATGTGTCCTTCCTCCACATCAGCCAAGCAGGCTTCTGTCTGTGCCTGTGCCTATGAGAAGTCCCCAGCCTGTTTCTGAGGTCTCTTTGAGTCCAAGGTCAAAATTAAGAAGGGTAAAAACCAATGGAGGTGTTTGTGCACAGACACACACGGAGCTGTACACGCATGCACAGATGCAGATCCTGTGGCAGGTCTGTGCAGCAGCCCCGGTGCTCGGGGGAGCTGGACACCCGCTCTGCTCCCCGGGACACGTGGCTGGCCCAGGGCTGTCAGACCCAGCTGTGCCCAGGAGAGCTAGAAGTCTGCTGCCATCTGCCTGCAGTCATTCTTTTTGGTCTTGGTGTGATTTTGAGAATGTCTGAAAAGCAACAGATGAAGAAAAACACGTGATCAGTTGCTCTGCTCTTTTGCACAAGGCAGCTAGTCTGCACCTCAGGTTTGAAAAGAAGAGGCTGGATGACCAGCACTCAGCAGACACAGTTTCCCAATGTCTCTCTTAATGTTTCAGAGAAAAAGAGGAGCAGAACAACTGCTGTTCCCTGGCATGTGTACTTAAAACTGCATTGGTTTCTGAAAGAGCTTCCCTAAATCTGACTTGGGCTATTTCTTAAATTATTAAAAAAAAATTAAAAAAATATATCTATATATATATATATACTGGGTTTTCTATTTCCCAAATGCATTCTAAGAACTTTCCTCATTTCTAACTCTTGCATATCAGTCCTTTATCCAGTGCTAAAAAAAACCCCAGCAAAAATTTATAAAAATAAACTACCTGGGCTGGTTAAATGACCTATCCACTGTAACATTTATTTCAGACATACGTACAGCCTGAGTGTTCAGCTGCTGTTTGCCTCCTGACCACATCAGGGAACACCAAGTTATTATTTAATGTAGTGTCATGTTGTAGCATGGAAGGTGTTTCCCACCAAGGTAATCCTAAGGTGTCTGTCATTTCCATCCTGCTCCAAGGAAGAGCCCTTCCCTGTGGCCACAGCATCTTCTGTTGTGAGCAACAGGTCCAAAAGCAAGGGCCTCCCCACTGGAGCCCAGTGGCTTGCCCACATGTGCCCTCTCCTGTGGAGATGTCGCCTAACCCTGGTCCCAGCCCCGCGCACTGTGCTGGAAGCAGAGTACCTCCTACTTACCACCACTGTGTGATATGAATGGCATATTTTTGGGGGTGACACACATATTTTGGGGGGTTTTCAGAACTCTCCCATCCATGGAGAAGGATCTCAGTGATGGCTCAGGAAGGAAGGACCTCACAGTGGCTGTCCCTGCCTGGCGTGGGCAAGGCCACTTGGAAGATGCACTGAGAATCTTTCCCATGGCACCTCTCTATTGACTCATCCACAGTCCTCTAGGTGGGGTCCTCCAGGAAAGCCTCTCTGCCAGGGGTCAGCACCCTGACAAGAGTGTCTGCTCTGTCTGTCTGTCTTCTTAGTCTTATGGACCAGGGCATCTACCGTGATGCTCATGCCCTCCTTGTAGTTCCCTTTTCCATAGCAGAGAGCAATGGCATCGGGGCCGTTCCGGATGGTGTTCTTAGGGACAACCAGGGCAGGGTTCAGGGAAGAGGAGCCAATGAGAAGGAACCCTTGGCTGTCTGTGGCTTTGCCCTGGAGGTTCAGCACCTCACATGCTCGTTCCCGTTGCCATTGTACAAGAGCAGGCAGCAGCCATCCAGGTGGGCTGCTTGCCCACTGGTGCGATAGAGCTCCACAAATTCAGCAGTGTCTACTCCTGCGCTGTCAGCATTGACTTAGTTGGTCAGGAGGGTGTGCTCAGTTTCCTGGCCCCTGCTGGGTTTTATGAGATTTTGAGTAGAGCCCTTGGAAAAGCAGAGGTGCAGAAGTACCATGAATCCAATATGTCAGGTACCTCCCATGATGAAGGCTGGGATTTTTCAAGTCTAGAGAGAGAGCCTGTTCTTCTCACAGCCACTAGGAGGGCACAGCAGAAGCTACCACAGGCTGTGCAGGCGAAGTACATGAAGCCTCTGACCTGGGTGTTCACTGGCAGAGGCACTGGCAGAGGCAGGCACTCTTCTTCACAGAGTTTAGGTTTGCCAAACAAAATATCAACCCCACACAAACCTGAAGGGTATGGCTTAAACAAGAGAATTCCCAGCTCAGGTCCTTTGAACGCTGGAGGGAGGGTATGGGAAAAAAGAGGAATTGTGTTAGGAAACATAGAAACACATCAGTGACACTTAACAGCCTTAAAGCCCCATAATTTCCCCTCCATGTTTCTTCAGAGGTTTATCAAGATGCAGTGGGGCAAACCCAGAAGTCTGCAGTGTTCAACGCCCTGAGACTTGAGTGAACAATGGAAATTTTAGATGTTAGTGTTAATCAAATTTATTCCACGGAAATTAACATGAAATGGCACAAAGATGATAGTAACCATCTTCTTCATCAAGGTGAAGGTGGGAAGGAGAATATAGAAGGTTGATTCTTGTCACAGACATGGCAGAGCAGGTCCACGGATTCCCCCACCACAAACCCAGCTGCAGCTCCTGCAGATGCCAAGGCTGCAGAATATGTAGCGGGGATGAACCTGGAATTTAAGTTGTTTGGGAAAATAGTGAGATTTGTCTTTCCATTTCCAGTGCTCTTCCCCCAAACATCTGTATCATCACCTGCTGAGTTTTGGTGACCTCCCTGCAGCCCTTGGCCAGTAGAGATCAAACCTGGGGAGGGTTCCAGCCCATGCAACAGTACCAGCACAGTAAGAACCTGCTGCCTTCCTGCAATGCAGGGCCACTTCCATGTGAGTGGGACAGATCAAGGATGCCCCCAATCCTCCTGCTGCTTAAAATCAGGGCTGCTGACCACGGCAGTCCCAAGACATGGACACCTGTGATCTTTTCTAGGAGAGTGCCAGCTGCAGAGGGATACAGCATCACACCCTTCAGCTATGGCTGCCAACGCCCAGGCTGTGAGCGAGCCTGTGGCCTGTTGTCATGGCCAGCAGAGCTGATGCCAGGGCTGGTGTTTTCTCACCAACATGAGGAATCAGCAGTAACTCCAGAGAATGAAGCTGACAGGAATTCCACAAAAGAGCAGGCCCTGATGGAGAGGTGCCCCTGAGCAACCTTGCCTTGGCATGCTCTGCCCCACAGCCCTTCCAGTGGCTGCTCTCAGACCACAGAGAATGGGGAAGCCCCTCCACCACACACCTTCTGCCTCCCCTAAGAACCCAGCCCAGCGCTGTTCTCCCTTTCAGGCACAGTTTGCGACCAAAATCACCATCAACATCCTCCTCCAGCAGGCTCTTGCTCCTGCCCAGTCTTCCAAGGAAAAGGAACTGGACCAGATTCTCTCCCCAGATCCACACCCTCAAGGTGCCACCACCCCTCGCTATTTCAGTTAAAAGTAGGAAGAAAACAGGAGGAACACACAGGCTGTGCTCCTGTCCAGGGGCGGGCATGGGACGGAAGAAAACCCACCAGGAATGGGAGAAACAGCAGGATAAAAAATGCACAAATCCCCCACATCTGGGCAGGCTGGAAGGGCAGGGGCGTGACTCCCGAGAAGAGGTGGCAGTGGTCGAAGGGGATGAGAAGGAATGGGGACAGGGATGGGACGGGAGAAGCCCCCGCGGGTCGCTCACCGCGCCACCTGCTGCCGCCGATGGGGCGGCCGGGGAGGAAGGGGAGGAGGAGGAGGAGGCTGTGAACGGGGAGCCGTTCACGGGCTCCATCCCCAAAGTCAGTTCACTAGTCTCCGTGTCACAAGAGACCCCACTCTGGCTTTTCCCAGCTCTTTTCCTGAGGTGGGGATGAATGGACGGACGAGCAGATGCGCTCCCAGAAAGCCAACTGCATCCCAGCTGCGTCCCTGGCTGCGTGGGCAGCAGGGCAAGAGAACCCTCTGCTCCTCTCTGGTGAGTTTCCACCTGCAGAGCTGCTTCTAGCTCTGGAGTCCCAACATCAGAAGGACGTGGAGCTGCTGGAGCGAGTCACGAGGAGGCCACAGAGGTGCTCCGAGTGCGGGAGCCCCTCTGCTGTGGAGACAGGCTGGGAGAGCTGGGGGTGCTCAGACTGGAGGAGAGGAGGCTCTGAGGAGATTTTAGAGCCCCTTCCAGTGCCTAAAGGAGCTCCAGGAGAGCTGCAGAGAGACTGTGGACAGGAGCTTGGAGGGACAGGACAAGAGGGAAGGACTTTAAACTTAAAATGGGGAGATCCAGATGGCATATTAGGAAGAAATTCTTCCCTGTGAGGGTGGGGAGACCCTGGCACAGGGTGTCCAGAGCAGCTGTGGCTGCCCCTGGATCCCTGGAAGTGTCCAAGACCAGGTTGGACAGGATTTGGACCGACCTGGGATAGTGGAAGGTGTCCC